TCCAGATAGTACAGTATCCATTAGAGTATCGACTGAGGTGACGCTAGGCGAGCACGGCGACGATAAGGAGGATACATGTACAGTTGTGCAGGATCAGTGACCGACGGCTCAGGTTCAGGATTCTATTATAGTTCGGAGACAGAGAAGAGACATACGGATGCTAGCACGGTATACTGATACAGCAGTTGCATATGCACTTTTGGTAGAGAGTATCGATGAGTTGGTACCTACTATATTCAGAGAGACCGAGCAGAGTTTGGAGGTTGATTCATGATAGGTGGCTATGCAGGAGGAGATAGACTCTCTTCACAAGAACGATACACAGGAGCTTGTTGAGCTTCCAAAGAGGCGGAAGGTAATTGGTTGCAAGTGAGTATACACAAAAAAAGGAGGGCATTGAGGGCACTCCATTGAGGTTTAAGGCTAGGTTGGTTGCGAAGGGCTATGCACAGGAGGAAGATATTGATAATAATGAGGTTTTCTCTCCGATGGTGAAGCATTCTTCGATTCGGATTCTGCTAGCTTTGATGACACAATATGGATTTGAGTTAGATCAGTTGGATGTGAAGATGGTATTTCTTCATGGTGATCTTGATGAAAAAATATATATGACTTAGCCATTAGGATTCCGAGCTGTAGGGAAGGAGAACCTGGTTTGCAGGTTAAAAAAATCGTTATACGGTTTGAAGCAGTCTCCCCGACAGTGATATAGGCGATTCGATGGTTTTATGCTTGGTCATTCGTACACTCGGAACCAGTTTGATCTTTGCGTGTATTTTGCAAGTTGAAACGAGGTGCGTGCATCTATTTATTTCTCTATGTTGATGACATGTTGGTTGTCTCTATTTTCAGGTCTTATATAGATGAGTTGAAGGCACAGTTTTCAAAGGAGTTTGAGATGAAGGAGTTGGGTGAGGCTAAACACATTTTGGGGATGGAGATCGGCAGAGATAAAGAGAATGGCAGAATTTGTTTGATACAGATGGCTTATTTGAAGAAGGTTCTTTAGCGATTTCATGTTTGCATGGATACGAAGCCAGTTAGTGTACATTTGAAGTTTTCAGCTGACCTCTCACCGAAAACAGTTGATCATTGAGAGTTGATGTCGAAGACTCTATATGTGAGCGCGGTTAGGAGCTTGATGTACGTGATGGTATGTACGAGACCGAATTTGTCACAGACGGTGGGCATGGTTTTGAGATACATGCACGATCCAGGAGTGGGTTATTAGGACGTCGTGAGATGGATTTTGAGGTACATTCGAGGTACGCTCAATGTTGGTTTAGTCTATGAGCGAGACACTAGAGGTGGACAGTTGTGCATTAGCTATGTTGATTCGGATTATGCCGAGGATTTGGATAAGTGTCGGTCTACTACGGGGTATGTGTTCACTTTGACCTGTGCGCCGGTGTATTGGAGATGCACGTTACAGTCTACGGTGGCTTTGTCAGCGACGAAGGCAAAGTATATGGCAATTACAAAGGCTGTGAATGAGGATATTTAGCTTCGAGGACTTTGGAAGTAACTTGGTATATCACAGCGATCTATCACTATTCATTATAATAGTATGAGTGCTATTTATATGGCAAAAAAATAGGTTTTTTATGCGAGGACGAAGCACATTGACGTTCGTTATCACTTCGTTCGAGATGTTCTTGAAGATGGCAATATACAGATTGTGAAGGTCCACACGAAGGATAATCTGGCGGATATGCTCACTAAGATGGTTTTGAGCAACAAGTTTGATCATTGTAGAACATTGTTGTACATTCGTGATTGTTGAGGCCGTTGACGGTCATTTGGTTGAACTACGCGTGGCTTGATCTCTTGAGAGAGGGGGTATGTAGGTAACCACATTGGTGCAGCCGAATTTGGTGAGACGACGCATTGGTGCTCATGTTAGTGTCGGCTCAATTTTGGGAATACTTCGCTGAGGTGAAGAATTGTTGGATAGTAGGATTCCTAATCTATTTTGGTAACATGATTTTTAATCTATTTTGGTAACAAGTTATTAGGATTTCTAATTTGTTTTGTTTTTGGTTTTAGAATTTCTAGTCTGTTTTGATTTTAGGTTTTCTATATATATAGAACGCCTTAGAAGAGATTAGGATCATCAAAATGAGGAGAGTTGTAATCAGAGATTAGAGAGACTTTTGAGCATTGTGAGAGGGAGATATTGTGAGTAAGTTGAGAGCTTTGGTTGAGGGTTAGTTTGTGAGTTTTGTGAGATTATAACCCTTTGTACTCTCCTTGATTTAGTGGAATCTCCTCATCCTATCTCCGTGGACGTAGGAAAATTGTTGAACCACGTATATCTCTGTGTTTGTGATTGATCTGTCGTATTTTAGTTTTGTATTGTGCTCGTGTGTGATTGGTTATTCTTCTCTCATGCTCAAAATCCAATATGTGTTCTCTTGTAAACAATGCACGTGATTCAATGTACAAGTCATACTTCGTATGTGCTATCAAAACATGTGAGAATAGAACAAAGGGTACAAAACTGCATAAGATTGGTTGGCTGATTGTATCCCATAGGTCAACCGATGATGACGTGCACAATACATGCACTATGAATCAACCTTGATCAGTCGATCGGTGACCTATGTTCGGTCGACCAACCATAGCAAACCCCATATTCCTACTAGCAATTATCGGTCGACTAATTGTAATTGATTAGTCGACCGACCAGAGCTAAAACCAGTTTTTCTGAGAAGGATTAGATACTCTCATAAAATCATCAAAAATCAAAAATTTTCAAATAAAACTCATGTGTTAAAACTTGGTTAAGTTATTTAGGGTTTACTTCGCCACACGAAAACAAAATTTATCAATTTGAGGGGATTCCAACAACTCTAGCATTATCATGTTTGTAAAACCATCATGAAAACAATTAAATTTAGTAAAACTTGTGTTTACTTTACTTCAAAACAAAAATCCAACTCAAGAATTCGTTTCATAACCTTTTTAAAACAAAAAGATTAAATCTTTATATTATACAATTTAAAAGAGTGATCTTTATACATAAAATAGGTTTTTAAAATCTAATAAAACCAAGTAAAAGAGGGGGATGAGTTTGGAGGAGATGAAACTCACCTCAAAAATCATGTTGGACTCCCAAACACGTGAGAGACACGATCCTCCTTCACCTAAAGCCGACGATCCCGCCCTTCTTTAGGTCTTTTCGCTTCTCAAAGCTTTCCCAAACTCAAAAGAAAATTTTCTAGGGTTTTGAGGGAAGGGTGGCTGCTGAACAACGTAGGAAAACCAGAAAAAGGGAAGAATTCATGTATATATGTATATATATACGCAAACGGTCCCGAACCGAAACCTCCTGACCCGAAACCAAATACCCAGTCTGGGCACTTATCGGTCGACTGATGCTCATTGATCAGTCGATCGACTAGCACCTATCGGTCGACTAATTTCAAGGGGTAGTAGATCGATAAGTGGTGTTTTTAGCCGACTGATTTTTCACGTACTTGCATGCATGTATGTGTGTGTGTGTGTGTGTATAATCGATCACAAACATACTCATTCATTCCAGAATAATATCAATTATAATAAAACTCATTTAATATTATTTTCCATAATATTTTCAAAATTACGGGGTTTTACAATTTGGGTGTGTTATGCAATTTTTCAAGTGTTTAGTGTGTTTTTTGCAAAAATCAGAACTTTCAAAGGGTTTTTTGTTATTTATAAATTATAAATTTTTACTGTTCTTAAGTTTTAATTTTTCAACTTTTTAAAAATTTGACTTATTTAATTTGGGTGCTTTTTTAAACTATTAGAATGTTTCTTGTAAATTTTAAAATTTTTATGGTGCTATTAATAAGTTATTGATTGTTTAGTTATTTATAAATTTTGATTTTTTTAGTGGTGTGTTTGTAAAATTTAACTTATTTAGGGTGTTTATTACAACTTTTGAAACTATCAGGGTGTTTTCTATAAAATTTCAAAAATTTTATGGTGTTATTTAAAAGTTTTATATTTTGTACTATTAGTATGTGTTGATATTTCCAGGCAGTGTTTTTATAAATTTAACTTTTTGAATGTGTATTTCATAATTTTTGAAGCTTTTAGGATGTTTTTCGAGCTTCTAAGCGTGTGTTCTGTAAATTGTAAACTTTTCGTAGTGTTGTATGTAATTTATGAATTTTGTAGTTTTTGTAACTATTGATATATTATGGTGTGTGTGTGTGTTTACAAATTTTGAATGTTAAGGGTTGAGTGATAAATGGATTAAAGTTAAACGGGTCGACGGGTTGGTCCGTTTACGTTCCGATTAATAAATTGGTTCTTTGGGTCGACCTGTTTATATCACCAGATCCATATAAAGTGACTCATACTCATTTGTAACGGGTCGGGTCAGCGGGTCGAATCATAAATTGCCACCCCTAAACTTTATAAACCAAAAGGGGTTGTAAGTTGTTTCATAAGCAATCATTAGGGTTGAACTTTTGGGAATGGAGTTAATGGACTATAAGGGCCTTGAATACACTACCACATATTTGCTCTAACGCAACGGTTTAAAACTATCGCATTAGCATCTAAACCGTTGCAATTGCACAAGCACAGCGGTTAACAATCTGTCTTCATTGATGCCGTTGCCCTAGCCATAAGGCAGCGGTTTCACAACCTAATGCAATGGTTTCTAAGACGAGGCTAACGCAACAGTTTTCACAAAATGCAACGTTTTCTGTAGCGGTTTACTTATGCCTAATGTAGCGGTTCCATACACAAAGGCAACAGTTATTGCAAATGCAACAGTCACAAACAATGGTTTCTTGATACCTAATGTCGCGGTTTCATACACAAGGGCAACGGTTTTTCCAAAACCAGGGACCAAATGCAATATTTATTTTGTACCTAATGCGACGTTTTGCTTTGCTATGGCAACAGTTTTATAGGGCTACGACAACAGTTTTACAGGGCTATATCAGCACTTTTTAAGAAATTTGACCAATAAGCAAACACAGTTACGTAAACCAAAATAAAAATGGAATAAGAACACACTACATTAAGATATCATCAAAATAAAAAATAATGAAACATTCATATGTTTTAAGCCCATCATTCAAAAATAAGTAGTTACAAGGTAACTTCAACCCATCAAAATATGATCAATTCACAACCATCAAAATATGATCAATTCAAAAGTACAAGTCTATTCCAAAAGATTCATATATCAAAGCCATCTTGACCGCATTCTCCTATTTAAGTCTTTATATCTCCTACAAAAAATAAAGAAACGTATCAAATATCATGTTAGCAACAAACTAAAAAGATAATTTTTTTTTAAACTAACCATTACAAGGAAAAAAAAGCTCAAGTAACATTGGTAAATAAGGAGACAATTGATCCTCATATGGCTACAGTTTCTCTTTTATATTAAAAAAGAGAAAATCACTCACCTACATCAAAACCTCTTCCATTTGAGCAAAATAGTGGCTACAGTTTCTTCAAAGTCCAAACCATGATCCTCGGATTCACAATTTACTGCAAAGATAAAATATTGTTTAAACATCTGAGTCTCTTTTTCAATGAGCTATTAACAGAAGAGCAAATAACCCAAATGCTGTAGCAAAGAGAATAAACAGAAGGAGCATCAGAAAAAGGAAGAATCACAAATATTTTAAAGGAGTTTGCTTCCAGAAGGCTATAGCAAAGAGAATAAACAGAAAAAATAGAAATAAACCAAACACAATCCTGACTACCAACATGAATTATCAAGAGCACCACCAAAAAATTGAAACCTGTAATTGGGCTCTGGCATTTGGCTGTGAGAGGAACTGGCCTTGAATTGCTTTCACTGGTTCACTAGCCCACATTACCAATACTTTTTAAAGGTCTTGGATCCCAATACTTCCATTGCCTGTCATTTCAACTTTCAATTTTGATCATTTGAGTAGAATATCCTCATGATTTATGAAAATGCACAAAGTAGTAGCAAGATGGCCTCTCAAGGTTAAAATCGTAGTTCTATCAATCATCCCCGCATACTCGCTGCATTAGAAAAACATGGGCAGTTGTTATCTGTGCGGAGATCAGGCACCCCTCTTGAAACAATATCCAGTCTTGAATGGTTGGGTCTCATATAATTTAATTTCATGTCTTGCTGGAGAGTCAAATCTTAGTGTCCGTGAATAAGGAATTGAGAGGTGGAAATAGTGGTCCATGAATGGAGATCATGGGAAAGGAATTGAGAGGTGGAATTCTAAGGTCCTTTGTATGATGCTATCTACAACGTCCAACTTCCAGAAACAGCAAGATATGCGATGCATGAATCACAAATGAAAATGAGCAAGATATGCGATACATGAATCACAAATGAAAATGAGCAAGATATGCGATACATGAATCACAACTGAAAATTTCTCAAACATTACTTCAAAATTAAGGTCATTTAATCGTAAAGTTAACGACTCACACCACATATTGTAAGTTTTTAGATTAACAGTATTTCAGGGAAGTACGTATGCCATGTTTTTTACTCATTAACAGTATCTGCAGGACTATCAGAAAACCACTACGGATACTTTTCTCTTCGGATACTTTTCTCATGAATCATACATAAGAAGCTTTCAAAGCCTTTCAGAGTTACGGTGAAGGATAAACGAGAACATTTAGAATGAAACAGATATAATTCCGTGATATTGACTGCATATAGAAATTAACATAAAATTATTGAAAACTAATTATAGAGCTATATGACTATAAATATGAAACAAACATGGTTCATTTTCTGGGTAATATATGTATTCACATTATCAAGGTCCATGAGTTTCAAAATTTCGAAATGAATGTCACAGTTTCCCGAAATATAATTCAGACTTGATGTCCTAAGGGCTGGAACTTGGCCTGTAGGCCTATGGATGATTGAGGTATCAGGGCCCATCTCTGAATGTAAGTGTGCTTGTGTTTCCAACATACTAATCTTTTGACAGCTAGTAAATAATAGGTCTCCGTGATGTATTACGTCTGGTTATTCCTCACTTCTTCCAGTGCATCTCCCGATTCAGTAGATATAGCATACAGGAAAAAAGGATTGTGAATCTACAAACCTTTGAGAAAAGTGAACCGCATAACTCAGGTGCCTTGTACCACCTAGTTGCAACATAATCCTGCAAGAAAGAGAAGCACATATGCGATATTCAAAAGGTTCCAAATTTTCAACTTTTAACTAAAACGGCTGTGGGAGTATCACGAAATGCCACCCTACACTATCAATACAAATCTCAAGAAGTGTCACCCTTGAGAAGTTATAGCAGTAAATGACAACATAGATCATGAAGAATCTTCACCTTACATCGTCAATATAGGTCCATAGTTTATAGGAGAAAAAACTTCTAATTTTTGTCGAAAATGGATGATCTCCTGATGCAAGATCTAGGGGTCACAAAGCATATACCTCATATACTTCAATTATGAAATCTATGACTCAACAAAAATTGCTGAAATATTGGAAGGAATCAAAGGAGAAAAGAGGACAAGTGCCAATCTTTATTATGATATCAAGTTAAAGCTAGATTACATAGTCTACATATGCAACTGAGTATTTTCGGAACAACTAAAGTGACAGGGATACAATATTGTTCAAGATAACACGCCAAGGAAATTATACGCTGATAACCTTATCCATGTCCTGTTTTCTTTTTGTGGGGATTTTTGGTCACAGTTTTAGGATTTGACTGTAGAAAGAAATAACAAATATGAATGACCATAAATATGTAGCCTTCCTTGTATTTGCAGTTTTCGAGACTCGAACCTGCGAACTACATTCCACAAGGAGAACAATCTTACTGGAGTTATGTTGGCCGTGAGTTTTGTACTGAAGAAGATCTTAAAGTCTCCCGCATTGGATCAATCAGAAAAACTGTCTGAAAAAGTGCTAAAATCATTAGACAGAAAATTTTCAATTGGGAACAATCAGTAGATTCACTATAAATTAATGTGCTGCAAGTTTCTACACGCAATATTCAAAGACATGAATATTGCACAACTCAGTAAAATACTCCCAAACTTTTGATTTTGCTCTTCTTTTACGTTTAGATATAGTTTCATTATCACAACTCAGTAAAATACTCCCAAACTTTTGATTTTGCTCTTCTTTTACGTTTAGATATAGTTTCATTATCAGATTCACTACCATCATCGCATGTCTTTTGATTTTGCTCTTCTTTTACGTTTAGATATAGTTTCATTATCAGATTCACTACCATCATCGCATGTAGTAAATTCATTCAAAGACATGAATGAATGATTCTGCTAATGATAACTGGGGACAAAAAAAATTACAGGTAGGAAATCTACGTGCTAAAAATAGCGACGACGAGAAAATAATAATAGTAATAACAATTGGTGAATTTTTACCTTCTCGATTGAGAACTGGGGACAATTTGCTGCTAATGATAACTGCTGAATTTGTTTTGGATCCTCGTTGGTGACTCTCTCACCTCCTACACTAGCCCTAAAAAAATAGCAGCAAATTTGAGATCGTTAGGCCAAGAACATGAGTAATTCCTTGAGATTGAATGATTACCTCCTCTCACATGAGTTCTAGAACATGAAATATCTAACAAAACTATTGGAACCCTAAATTTTTCAGCTGGCCTTTTACTAACTCTTACATATATTTCATCCGACAATAACAATAAACCATGTAAAAAAACGAGACTTTTCCCAATTCATCCCGAACCCTAATCAACCAAAACTAACCCTAAACTTAACGATCGCTCCATCAATCACCGGAATCATTCCTTATCAAACATTAAATCGCGTTTCGAAACAATTAGATCAAAAAGCAGAATCAAAACATACCTACTTCGCCTCTTGATTGGCTTCGAATTCGTTTTCCAAAGCTGTCCATTGTCTTCGTCGTCAACTTAGTCAAAGGCTTCGTCATCTTCATCGCCGATCGCCACTGATCGCCGCCGTCTAAGTTCGTGAAAGGGATTGGGATCGAGGTTTCGTCGTCTTCGTCTTCGTCGCCTCTTGATCACCAAACTGAGCCCAGACCGCTTGACCCTCGATCAGCCCTTGGTCGCTGATCTGCGGCGGCACCGCCGGGAAAATGTCGTAGAAGCTCGGAGAGACGAATCGCAGAGAGAGGGGAGCCGAGATTTTTAGGGTTTCGGGGAGAGAGGAATCGCAGAGAGAGGGGAGAATAGATTTCTATGTGAGCTGGGTAAGTTTGGGTGGGTTACGGGTTGGTCAAGACCCGCCCATCTAATACTCATTTAATTTCTATATACAAATAGTTACCCAACTTATTAGACCCATTTAGATAAATAGGTTGGTTTGGATGAGTCTCATATTGGATGGATCTGGGTGGGTTATTGGGTTTGGATCAGAATTGACATCCCTAGGTCAGACCAAATATTAAGCCCATGAACAATTATTTGGCCTATGGCAACATTTGTTATTTAATGTTGCATTAGCCATTGTAAACCGTTACGATAGATATCTAACGCAACAGTTAGAACCGTTGCGCCTTAACCGCTGCAATAGATCAATTATGTGGTAGTGATAGCTGAAGCCCTTCCCTTGAAGTTCAGTGGCATCTAATTAAGCTAGCATTTCTAGTTTATTACTTATAATGATCTCTCTAACATATTACATTATTGCAGGAAAGTAAACAAGGTCAAGCACTGCAGAGTTGTGGCCTCATGGGACATTGGAGACATCAAACTTTTTTTTTTTTTTTTTGTGCTGCAAGTTTAATTGTTTTTGAGTTTTTATGGGAATTGCTCTAATTTCGGTGCATATATGTGTTGTAATAATTTGTGAAGGACAATGCTAGCTTAGGTCAAGTACAAATGAGAGGGATTTTAGAGAGAGGGCGCGGAAAAGTTAATTGTACTTTGATAGATAGTGCGTCTTCATCACTGCGTACGGGATTGATTGTTAGCAAATATTTTTCTGTTCTTTAAGTCGTGCACTACTGTACTGGGACTGCACGGTATTAACTAGAGTTACGCTAAAAAAAACCATGTGAAGTCTTCTGGTTATTTCTGGGGGCAGTATGGGAGTGTTTTTGCAAGTTGAAAAGGAATTAAAATGTGAGTTCCTTTTTTTTCCCCTTCCTTTTTACTAATGATTTTCACATTCATGTCAGCGTGTAAATGGCCCCCAATGTTTGAGTTTAGAGGCAAGATTCATGTCTCGTAAAATTTTGAGTTTTTTTTTTCCTTTCATATATAGTTGTGTGCTCTAGCCTCTAGTGTATTATGGTTTTCTTAAGTTGTTCACTTGCGTCATGCTCATTTTTTATCGTGACAATGAATTTTGGCTAGGTCAATCAAGTATCAAGAATTAAATTCAGAGTGCTATTTGTCTTGCAAAGAATTAGGTATTTCATGCAAGGACAAAACACATTAAAATACACTATCATCGGATTCGTGATTGGCTCATGACAGGAGAGGTCGATGTGAAAAACGTTCATACAGATGAGAATGCAGTAGATTTTCTCACTAAATCTATTACGGCTGAGATGTCTAAGCATTTCTTGAGTCTGCTAAATCTGACGACATGTTAGCTCATGAGTACACCTAGTCATCAGAGGTGCGGGGAGATGAGTTGATGCTCATCAACGTGAAGCAGCTGAAGCCAGAGCAGGACTTGCTCTAAAGTTCCGTAGTCTTAACTTCTTAGATTTCAAAGATCCATGTTCCGAAGACAAGTGTTCGTGGTTCAGATGAAGATTGACATTCCGAAAACTCGTATTCTGAAGACTAATGCTCTGAAGATGCAAGTGACAACTTTGAGTTGCGTCGGATATCTCTCCAAAGTGGAGATTGTTAGTGTTGGCTCGATTTCTAACTCAATTATTGCTATAGTTTTTTGCATGCAGATTCAATTTTGTATGATCTTTTCGGGCATGGTGTAGTCATCATTTAGCTCGAAACTCTACATGAAAGTTGCAGAGGTGCACGCATAGTTTTCTCCAAGTTTTGAATCACAGGAATCAGAACAGTATTGATGGAGTTATGGTTAGTCAAAGCACCCTATCCGAATCACAAGAATTTGACCAGATTTGTGTATTCCCAAAAAGTCCTAAGCATTCATGGATCTTGGAAGATGAAAAGGTGGACTAGAAGGTTCATCAAGACCTAGGCATGCTCTCGTTGTGGAGTGGCATCTAAGTTTTCCACTTGTTCTCTTGAAAGTATAGAGAGTTAGAGTGAAGGAGAGTCTCTTGTGTTGTAGAGATCTCTCATGTTGAATTAATATAGGAGGAGCATGTATGAGGGTTGTGTGAAAGTCGGCGCTGTCGAGTGTGTCGTGTGTGCCTTCTACCCATCTGTTGATTCCATTATAATGAAGTATCCTCCGAGCTCCGAGCTCAACCCGTGGTTTTTTCCCGTTTGGGTTTTCCACGTAAATTCTTGTGTTCATTCTTCGTGTGATTATCTTTTATCTTTTTGTCATTAAGAACAAGACCCTGAAGTGGTGTTGAGAAGTTTCGTGATTCGTCAACACCAACAAGGTATATATATACTAAAAAATTTTGTTAAAAAAGTAAAAGGTATATATGGTATATATAATTAAAAAAACATAATCTATTTTTAGAAGCATCCTCAGGTTGCTTTTAAACCACTATTTAGAAGGAGAACCAACTTTAATTATTACACACAAAAAGGTTTTCACCAAATCTCATTGTTGATTGCTTATTGAAAAAATAACCAAAAACATCCCAAAAAGAGCAATACCAAATTGCCCCTTAGTTCAAAGCTCGAACACCCAACCATTCAACAGGGATAGGGTGTTATCATTTGCTCATTTGGCTAATGAATAAGCATTATTTTTTCATTGAAAAAAAATACAATGCTTGTTTGAGGAAAAATTGTTGTTAAAAGTATAAAGGTGAAAATGACATGACAAAATAGAATTTAGTTATCAGTTTTCTCAGGAAAGTCAAAATTACATTAAATTTTGTATGATTTTTTCTTTATTTCACTTTCACGTACACTTTCATGCAAAAAAACATCAATTAAGAGTGAGTTGTATTCCCAATTTCTAGACCAAGAAAATACCGAAGAGAGGCCAATATCCTTTATGTGGAACTGTTGTTGCAACTGAGATTTTGCATATTGTATATCAGCCACATCATCACCTGTAATGATCATATCATCTACATAGATGAGTAATAAAACTCTGTAACGTGATGTAGTGCGAACAAATAGAGAAGTATCTTGATGACTTTCCATAAAGCCCGTCTTGAGAACGACATCGCGAAAACACTCAAACCAAGCGCATGGTACCTGCTTGAGACCATAAACAGCACGGTGAAGGAGACATACATGTCCCGGAGGAATAGTGGACCCTGGAGGTGTTTACATATATATTGTCTTAGATAAAAAGAGCCATGGAGAAAAGTATTTTTGACATTCATCTGGTATAAGGGCTAACGATGAGCAGTAGCAACCGCAAAAAGAGTACGAATGGTGAACATCTGAGCAACAAGATCAAAAGTCTCCTCATAATCAATACCTTGTTGCTGAGTAAAACCTCGAGCCACTAAATGAGCTTTCCGACATTCAATGGTGCCATCAGGATAATGCTTTACTTTTAAACTCATTTACTGCCAACTAAAGAGATGTCAGGGGAACAGGGAACAACATCTCAGGTATGTGTTTACTAAAAGGCCTAAAATTCCTCAGCCATAGCCTGTTGCCACTCTGGAAATTGAACGGCCTCTTGAAAGGATTTTGGCTCAACTGTAATATGAATGGCAGCAAGAAAATTATGAAAAATAGATAAATATGAAGTAACCGAAACATACCGTGCAGGTATGACATGTGGGCGTCTGCCTCGACGAAGAGCAAGAGGAACCTCAGGCGGGGGAGATGCTAGCGCAAGTGCATGGAGGTCAATAGTATTTTCTGGAGTTGGTGTCGTGTCTACGGGATAGGGATCAGATGGTGGAAGAGAAGGCTCGGGTGAGGGAGAGTCAACAGAAGAAGATGGAGAGATTTTAAGGAGATCTCGAAAAGAGAACTGAGGTAAGGAAGTGGGTGATGTAGCTAGCGGAGAAACACGATCAATAGTGTGGAGGAAATTGATATCATCGGAAGCAGAATAAAATGGAGAATCCTCTTCGAGCTGAACGTGTCGAGATATATAAACTCGACGAGATGCGGGATCATAACAACGATAACCTCGATGTTCCGAACAAATTCCTAAATAGACACATAGAACAACTCTGGGAGGTAATTTATCACGTTTGTGAGATAGCAGAAGAATGAAACAGCGACAACCAAAAATGCGGACCAGATCATAACGGGGAGGATGAGTATAAACACGACTATGAGGAGTAGCACTAGAAAGAGAGCTAGATGGAGTGATATTAATGGCATGAGTAGTAGTGAGAATGGCCTCGGCCCAGAAACGACGAGGAATAGAGTAAGAAATGAGCATGAATCGAGCGGTACCGAGAATATGACGATGTTTACGTTCAGTAATACCATTTTTCTCATGAGTGTAGGGACATGACTATTGAAAGATAGTCCCATGAGAGTACATGATAGAGCGCATGGTAGAGGATAGGTACTCTTTAGCACAGTGAGAACGAAAAACTTTAATACGAGCTTGCCATTGAGTGAAGATCATCGCATTGAAGGCTTGATAAGCAGCAAGTACGTCAGAGCGATTTTTAAGTAGGTAGACCCATGTATAACGAGAGAATTGATAAGCAGCAAGTACGTCAGAGCGATTTTTAAGTAGGTAGACCCATGTATAACGAGAGAAATCATCGATAAAACTAACATAATATAAGTAGCCCCATGTATAACGAGAGAAATCATCGATAAAACTAACATAATATAAGTAGCCAGATGAAGAAGGCAGAGGAGCTAGCTCCCAGATATCAGAATGGACCAAATCAAATAAGAAAGTGGAAACATGTGTACTGGTTGGAAATGGTAGAATAGTAAATTTAGCCAATTTACAACCAGTACATAACTCAACATGAGAACGATAGGATACAGGACTAAGTACTCCGGACTAGATAATATTTTCTAGCCTTTTATGAGACACATGACCAAGTCGTCTATGCCACAAATCTACGGAAAGCAAGGTAGAGGATTTTGAACTTATAGAAGTAGCAAGAGAACGTGGATATATGGACTCTGGAAGGTGAAAATATTCTAGAAAATACAGTTTGTGTCTCCTCCGACCAACCCCAACAGTCTTGCCCGTCTA